TAATAAGGTATTTATAAAATATTTGTTAAGGATGTACTGCAGAACAACCTGTACATCATTTCAAAAACTAAAAATTGTAAGTTTGCGTTTAGAATCGTAATATTTTAGATATTTTATTTTAATTCATTTTTAGAATACTGAATTTTTTTCTAAATTTCTTTTGAATATTTAAAATAACAACAAAAAAAATGATGAAAAGGAGAATATATAAAATTTTGAACTTAAATTTCCAAATTATTTTAAATGCTAATTGCAAAAAAAAAAAAAAAAANAAAAAAAAAAAAAAAAAAAAAAAAAAAAAAAAAAAAAAAAAAAAAAGGGAAATTAAGGGAAAATTAAAGTGCGAATATTTTTTATTCGAAATAAACCTAAAAATTACGTGATAATCATAATATTGTAATTTATATCAAAAATTGCAAAGATATAAAATATTATAAATATTTTTAAATTGTAAAGGTTTCTAAAAAATACTGGAAGGACCGAAGAAAATTTTGTATACTTAATAGTACAACATAACAAAACAATTCCAAACAGTGAACGCATTTAAAAGAAATTCTTTCCAAAATCTAAGCATTTTTAAAGCAACATTGAAGACAAAACTCGCAAAATTTGTAAACAATTACGGGCGAAATCAGAACGCGACAATTTTGGAGGATAAATTATTAACCGTATGGTATAAAGCCGAGTGATTGATTTTGGTATTTCCATTTTTGGTGTTTAGAGTTTTCATGCACCCTAAAAATTCCATATGAAAGCTCGAGTTGATGTTAAGAATGTTGTTTTACCCTACAAAGTTGCAACTGCCATATTTGTTAAATAATAACGATACAATTTGTAATTACACTAAGATATGATGCACATAAGATACAGTAAAGCTGCTTTTAAGATGCACTCTAAAGCAAGAACATAAATTTAGGATACACAAAAAATTATTTCTTATTAATCAAGCATACACGCGGCACAGAGAGAATATTTACCGAGTTCTAACTAGGCTTAACAAAACTGAAGCGGATAAAAACTAATTACATTAAAATTATTTAACACAATTGAGACAGATTTATTTAAATCTACGCTCTATATAAAAGCGTATGTTCACTAATAACTCAAAAACGGGTGAACCTATGTTTCTTTTCTTCAGTTAGCAAATTTTTATGGGGTGGTTTGAAAACAGTCACCCCTTTCCCTCTTTCAAGCACAATAATATCGAAAATATAAAATTTCATTGATGAAAATCATGATTATAGATTAAAACATGCGCTTTCTTGGGAAGAGTAATGAGATACCTGCAAGTGACGTAGTGCGAGTATCTCGATCCTGATTGGTTGTTTACGATAGCAACTTCAATTCTATTTCGAGTAAGCCAAGCCCGTCAAGTATCAATTCTCTTAAGTAACACATTCTAAATACTTTCACAAAGATTCTTTCTTAAAGATTTCAATTCCTTCGCTATGTATTTACACAGAGACTTAACCTTTTCACGTGGGCGCAAAAATAAGAAATCTAGATCCTCTGGTGGGCTCTTTTTGAGACTGGAGGATGAATTCAAGAAAGGGCACCGCTAATCCCTGAAACAAGTCAAGTGATGGGTGTTAAGCATTCCCGAAAGTTTTATTCTCCCTCTGTTATTCTAAACTCTAGTTGCTATCTTTTACACCACCGCAGTTCGGGATAATAGAAATACCACTGGTGGAGGAATCCCATTTTTTTTTTACAACTGAAAAAGCGCGGGAAAACTTCGTTGGTGGTTTTATACGATTCAATGTGAAAAACTACCTTCCGAATGTCACATTTTGACTATTTATGGTGTTTTACAAACATTCAGATTTAGTGTGGTGTATCCCAATTTCCTCATTTTATTGTTTTGAATTCTATGAAGAAGACATAATCCCTAACCATAGTTCCGAAAAACTATTCATTAAGCTAGCTATAAAAAATTATATAAATAAAAGAATAAAAAATTATAGATTACTGTGTCAATTTCCATTCTAAACTATATTAATAATTAAAATTTCCATCATGAGAGTATTTTTATTGAATTTTTTATCTTTCTCACGTTTGATTTCTATTAAAGATTATTTTTTAAAAAAAATTCGTTCTGTCAAACATTTTTTATCATATATTTACTTTAAAATTATTGTAATTGCGGTTTGTCATTGCTCTCTGTTTTACATTACTATTTTCAACGTATTATTATGAAACATTTTAACATTTTACTGTTTAAAATGCAAAACTATTATTATGCATTTGAGGAATAGTTAAAAAAAATGTTCCTTGAGATATTGTTTCAACAGTTAATTCAGTTTTTGAAAATTTCAGATTGGTATTGCAAGCGTTATTTACATCAGTTATTAAAGTTATATCTATTTTTTAAAGTTATATCTATTTTTTAAAGTTATATCTATTTTTTAAAGTTATATCTAAGCTCTTTGATGCCATATTAAAACGATTGGTTTATTTATATGTTTCCGCAAAAGATAAGCAAGCTAATGAGGTGTACAGTGATCATAAACACTCTTTTAACACTCCGCGCAGCTGAGTTTAGTTTAGTCTTATTGGCATCCTATAATAGATACTTTTATATTAAATAAACTTCGAATTTTTATTATTATGTCAGATAATTTGACATATTGTTGTGCACCATGAAACTCACATTTTAAATTTTAATTTAATTAAACAGAACTACATTTTTGGTATGAAATAAATTACTTTAGAGAAAAAAAATTAAATCCAACTATCTCTTTCTATACAAAAATAAAATATTGAAGTTATGCATCAATACAAGTAATATAATTTTTTTTTTTTTAAAAATCAAGTCCTATTTTCAACAAAGAAAAATTTTATTTTAGTTAATTTTTATTTTTCTCCCATATAAAACTAAATTAATTAATTTAATTTAATTAATGAATCAATATTGGAAGAAACTGTATTAACTGCATCAAGTGTCATCTACTACAAGTTTACAAAAAATGTATTTGAATTTGAGTGGAAGAATAAAAAGTATTTTATTAATGATTGAAAATTTGAACAAGATATTGTGGGTGTGTGAACTAATAGTAGGAATTGAAGGGGAAAAAAAAGGTGCGTGGTATCCAGGCAACTATAAAAGTATACATCTGGTGACGTGGACCACACGTGCTACCACGCAATGTTCTTTATTGAATTTATCTGAAATTGATCGAATATAAATATATTAACCCCTATTGTAGTAGGGGAGAGTGGGGTCAATTGTAACATTTTTTACTTAACTATTTTTAACTAACAAAAATTCCAATATATTATTAGTATTAATTGAAAGACGAGTAAAGTAGACTATCCTCTACTAGTAAAAAAAATATATATACCTTATTTTAAATGTTATTATTTTAGTGATTAACAATTTTTGACAGTCGTGCACTTGTTACAATTGTCCCCACTTACGGGGTCAATTGTAACAGTTCATAAATTCAACTAAAACATAGTTAATTATGCATATTATCGTAGTTGTGTTATATTTTTTTATTGATCAAATTAGTAGTGATATTTTAGGAATAAAAATAATAATGAGCAGAGACCTAAAGGGTTAAACTTTTAACTTTAAGGGGTTAAAAATTTTAATTTATGCTGTGAAAGGTGACAAATAAAATAATGCACATGCAACATAATATAAATGATATAGGAAACTATTGGTGGTTCTTAAAGAGTTAAGTAATGGTTTGTAAACATAAGATTATTTATTTTCAGCTGTTACAATCGTCCCTTTACTTATTGTTACAATTGTCCCCAAGACGCCATTTCAGCTTCATTTGTTAAAAACAATGCTAGTTAATTAACAAAACTAATCTTTTTTTTTTTAAATGTTAATTAAGGTGTCCACTTACATATTCGGTTAATAATTTTTATTTGTTTAAACAAAATTACTTTGTTACAATATAATATTCTAATACCAAAAAAAGTACTTACGTAGCGTGAAAATATCTTTTGTGATGTAACTCTTTCAAAAGTACATAAAAATGGTTGCCAGCAGGGGTGTACATGTAGATTTATTAAATACACCTTGTACGCCACCTAGGAACCAAATCTAGAACCCGACACTCGAAATGTTTGCCCTGTTACAATCGTACCCTGTTACAATTGACCCCACTCTCCCCTACTATGTAAGCTATAATTTAATGTTATATTTTATTTCGATCACAGCCAGTGAACTGCTGGAAGTTTGAAAGTTGGTAGAGCTGAGCTAAAAGCTTTTTCAAACTAAAACCTTTTATTTATTTATATATTTCTTAAGCAATGGGACATCCAGAAATTTAAACATTGTTTGCATGCTTCGTTTTCTATCTAAAATGGAGGATATAACTCAAGATAAAATTATTTAAAAACAAAAAATGAATTCGTTATGTTTTGTTTTGCGAGAAAGTAAAAAAATAAAATATTTTGTGAAGAATCAAGTTGTTGTAGTCCCTGTAAATTTTTAGGATATTATGTTTATTTTATACAAAGTTTTTCCTGAAATGTGTAAGAATTTATTGTGAAATGTAGAAAAGGAAGCAGATGAAAAGTCGGTGCTTTTCAAAAAACATGAAATAAGCCACTAACATTTTATTAAAAATACCTAGCGATTTTTAGGAAAGGAGGCAAAAATTGTCCTTTGCAGCCGCTGTTCGAATTTCAGGACGCTAGTACAAACAATTCTGAAGTTAGATGTACACACAAAAAAATCTTCATTTTATTATTATACATAAATGTCATTTTGTATGTTAAAAAAAAAAAAAAAAAGGTCTGGAAGTTATGTTTTACTGTTAATTGTCTTATTTTTACTGTTAATTGTCTTATTTTTACTGTTAATTGTCTTATTTCTACTTACACTTTTAAATTATGTTCCCCCATTTTTGATAAATGAAATAAGTACAATTAGGTAATGTTTTTATTTTATAAATTTTTAACAAAATGTGTTTTTTAAATAATCTTAAATGTAATAATGTAGCTTATATTTAATTTTAAATTATTAAAGAAAAGTTAATCAAATCCTTAGAAAACAGCTTAAAAAATTTATATTTTCAATTTGTCATTTTTAAGATAAAATCTCAGGCAGAAAAACTCTTGTAATTGTTATAGCTTGTAATTCAGGAAACATTCCTTAAAGAGAGATGAAGATTCATTAGAGAGAGAAAGATTATAATGCCTGGAAAAACAAACCTTACAGTTTATTAGTTAGGCTAATATTATTTTGAAAGTTCTCTTAGTATGCATGTGAATTTGATCTAAATGTTGACAGATATTTATACTTTTCATCACTTACTATAATTCATCAGTTTAGGTTATGATGATGCTGTAAAGTTCAATGAAGAATCTAGTTTTACTATCTGCTTCAGTTCATAATACTGTTTGTGCTTGGGATTGCCGTAGCAAGTCTTGCGAGCCTATTCAGGTGATGTATCATATTTTTACTGTTGGTTTTTAAATGGACAAATTAATAAAATAATGAATTTAAAATGCTATTTATCTTGCTTTCAGTTTCCTTTTCTTTATAATTATTTTTTTAAATTTTGCTAAATCAATTAAATTTATTTTATTGGAAACAACAAAGAATCACAAACAATTTGTTACTTTGTGACTGTTTAATTTTAAACTTGGCTCAAAAGAAATATTTTCTGTATTTATATATGTAAATGTATGTAACGAGTATTTGATGATCACCTTTAGTGTATATTTTTTAAACCTCTTTCAAAAAAGTTTAAACATTTAGTGGTTGTAAATTAAAATTTAAATGAGAATAAAGAATCAGTACTGAAGAAGGTAGGACTTGAAAGACCAGAACTTATGTGAAGCCACCATTAGGGAAGTACTTTGAAATTTAAAGTTAGCAGAAATTTTATTTTTAAGCATATTTTCTTTGTATGCTAATTTAAATAAATTATTTGGGCATTACTAAAGAAAAAAAAATGTGAATAAATAAAGCTCAAATATGAAAATACATTTTCATTTGTGCTTGATCCACATTGTATTTTGCTTTAATCTAGTATTATCCTCTCCTTTTTTGGCTATTTGTGTATAGTTTTACTCATAAAGAATTATTTTTAAAATAAGATTCAAGGTTACTTCAAGTTTTTCTAATTTATTTCTAATAAAAATACTTTTTATAAAGAATTCTTTGGTGGCCATATTTTAAATACTACAGGGTGCGTAGCATTTTTATAAAATGATTTACATTTTTTAAAAGCCTTTAAAGGTGCTTTTTCCATTGAGTGTTTGTAAAAAGTGCTTAATTGTCCTTCTTTGAAATAAAGATTTTTATTTATTTTTTTTTTTTCCTGTGTCAATCATCGTCTTAAATTACAAAAAGAAGCTTGATTTTCACAATTTTTTCTGCCATATTTATCAGTAACTTGTTATTTTATCATGATTATGTATAGTCAGTCTTTGAAAATAACTTTGCATTTTGTTGATTATATAAATGAAGAACTTTAAACAATAGGAAGAAATAATTTTTATTTCTGCACCAATCCTGATTATATATTTATTTTTTTGATAAGTGATTAAAAATATTTTTTGAATGCTTAAAAGGTGCTTATTTTTAATATACCTAGTACAGAGTGCTATGTATCCTAGTATTACATACCTAGTACACAGTGCTACACACTCTGTACTAGGTATTCGCCAAGCCTAAGTAAAATGTGTTTTATATAATCAATATAAAATGAATTATAAAAGAATCATTGATATGTATTTGACCTTGGAAAAAAAATCTGCATTTTATCTTAAAGCATTTTATCTTTAAATGTTTCTTTTGAAACACATTAAAATTATGAGTTTCTTCTTTTTAAAATTAAATTTCAGTTATAAAGTCTTGTATGCTTGATACAAAGGACATCTCTGTATTAGAGTATGAAATACCTTATTTGTCTTACTGTTGTAAAAATAATGGCATTTTATGGTATCTATCTTTGAATTTTTTAATGAAATGAGCAAAAATTTCCCATTGTTTAAATAAATTTTGTTATTGAGTATAATTTTAAATTTCATGTGATGCAAAAGATTTTATGACATCTTTGTCAACATCACAGCAAAAATATGTTAATTTAAAACTGTATCAGAGCATGAAATGCTTTTTTTTAAAAATCTTTTGTAAAAATAATTATTCATTACGTTATGATGTTTATTAACTTTTTATTAATGAAATTAGTAAAATTTTTAAATTAATTTTGTTTTTTGACTATTTTAAATTTCAGATTTCTCATGATGCAAAACATTCTGTGACATCATTGTCTGTATCAGAGCATCAAATATTTTAATTTACATCTTTTTTTCTTTTGTAGAAATAATTGCTTCTTTCATTTTAACATAATTTTATTCACTATATTAAAGCGTAATTTGTTTAAAAAATTCTAAATTTTGAAATAAGTTTTGTTTAATTGAGTATAAGTTTTAATTTCAGATTTGACATGATACAAAATATTCTATGATTCCTCAGTCTGTATAAGAGAATGAAATACTTTTTTTTAAAATCCTTCTTCTGTGAAAATATTTACTCATTACATTTTAATGTATATTTACTTTTTATGGTATAGTTAAGTGAGTAAAATTTTTAAATTGCTTAAATTTTTTTCTAATATTCTAAATTTAAAATTTTACATGATGCAAAAGATTCTTGGACATCATTGCCTGTATCAGAGCTCAAAATATATTATTTTTAATTTGTTTTGTTCTCTTGATATTAAAATGTAATCAGTAATACTATTAAATATCTTAAATAAAATTTTATTTATGAGATCTAATTTCAAATTTTTGGTCTGGCGTGATGCAAAAGATTCTGTAACATCTTTGTCAATATCTGACCATGAAATACTCAAAAGATCATTAGACTGCTTTGCTGTATCAGATGTTATGACATATAAAAAGGACTATTAAGTCAAGATAATTTGAGTTGTAAGCTTTCAATTGAACTTTGAAATTGGAATGGTAAATGTTTAAGTAATTAACACATGAATATTTCATGATTTTTCTTTATTTTTCCAGTGTAATATATCCTAGCGTAGGATATTGTCAAAGTTTTATTTAATATGCTGGCAGCTATTATTCTAGAAGTTGTTGAATGGAAAGAAGCGGATGCTTTTTTAGTTAGTTCTCCTTTTATTGTGCATTAAAATAAATTCTGTAAATTTCTCGTTTAATTTAAATAACATCTGATATCCATGTTTTTAAAAATAGAATTTAATGTTAAATTTTTTTTTTAATTTTAAGTGCAAAGTAAATTTTATGTATTGTATTGTAATTATTATCAAACCTTGTTTTCGTAAAACCAGTCACATGACCATCCTGGTAAGTTGACTACCTAATCTAAATAGATCTCCATTATTCAGAACTGAATTTATTGTTTATAATTAAAAGAAGTAAGATCTTTATTTCCAGACCATTTGTCTATATGTTGACTTCTGAAAATATAACATTTATTTAAAAGTGCTCTTAAATGCTCTTCTAAATCTTTAAGTTAAGTCCAAAGAAAAGAATACTTTTTCAGGAATATTATTTTTTGTAATTACAGAGTCCTCCCATTGTGAAAAAGTCTCTATAAAGGTCTTAAATTTAAGTATGGTTTTAGGGGCTCCTAAAAAGGCTTTATTTTTCTCTCAAAAACTTCAAAGGATCCTAATTTTAAAGACTTAAACTGTATTTTTATGAAACTTAAGCAGTGATTCAAGTAAAATTAAAAAGTTTTAGATGTTAAAAAATCAGTTTATCTAGATATTCAATATCCCAAACTTTTTTTTAAGACCTATTTAAAACTTTTTATGATTTTTTGTTGAACCAGAACTTATGATCTTTATTTAGAAGCAATCAGTATTCTCTCCAAGCATCTTTAGAAGGGTGGCTAGCCCTGCTTACCCTCTGATCCCAATAGTGCCCTCTTTTCCCTTTATGTAAAAATAAGTTGCCATTCTTTAAAAACACTGCTTTTTAATTTATATTCCATTTTAAAAAAGATTAATTTACTGTTTAAATTATAATTGCACCCAGGTAAAATTACCTGTGTTTAAAGGTTTAATTCTGATTGCCAGTTATTACTAATATTTACTTTGTTAGAAATATTCTCAACTGTTTAAATGTTTACAAGTATCTCTTTTTTTCGAGTTAATAAAATTTTTGAAGTGATTTTAAATTTCAAGATTATTTTTTAAATAAAACACTTATTTTATTTTATTTTTAAAAGCACCTTTAAATGTTAATTTCTCATAATTTCCAGTTTAAATTATAGAAAAAAGCTTTCAAGTTGTTTATGAATTAATTTTATAAACTACAATTTTTTTTCTATATTGATAATAAGTGAGAATTACTTTTAAACATACACATTAAATAGCATAAAGAGGTTATTAAAAATTTTTTTTGAAGAATTGTTAAAATTCAGTTATTGCATAATGTTTCACATTTTGATTCATTTCTATTGGTGTTAAGGGAGTATCCTTTCCTGAGAGGAAGTGCTTTTTTATTCCTAAGGAGAAGTTTGAAGCAATCCTTTTTAAAAACTCTTTCATAAGAGAAACATATATTTTTATGTTGACCCCTAAGTTTTGCAACATTTTGGTGTTTAAAAAGTTGACTATGGATGTGTGATATTGTAACAAGAACAATTAAATATTAAAGAAAAAATTAAAACAAAGGTTTTTCTATATTCACTTGTTAAAAAAAATATTCTTTTTTCTATTTCTTTTTTAAATTTGATATTGAAAAAACTCTTACTTATGTTTATTTTTCTGATTATTGTTTATTTGTCTGCCAAATACGTGATGATTACTTTTAAGACAAATGATGTGAGGAATTTTATATGAAGAAACTTTAGATGAACATGAATCAGAACAGCATAAATTACAATTCCGTTAATTTCTTTCTTTTAAAATAAAAAAAGTTTTTTTTAATAATATCATATGCAAATTAAACCACGCCCTTTNTACAAATAAATAGGTAAGTTTAAAAATATTGAGAAAGTGTCTGGCCGGAAGCTAAAGCCGATATGATATCAGGTTGTTATAGGGCACCCTACGTAGTATATATAGCAATCATAAATGGTGTGAATTAATCTTTCTTATTGTATATAACTGTAGAATGAAAACTATCCTTCTTTCTTGCAGTTGTGGTTGAGTCTTGCTGAAAGACATTTAGAAGGTAAAACTGCTCTTTTAGAGAAAGCATTTTCTGTTTGCTTAGGTGAGAAATGTGATCCAGATGAAAGTGAACTTGGAACTCAAATAATTAAGGTACTTTCTGAATCATTAAAAAATATTTCATTCTTTTTCAGATTATCTTCGAAGAAGGTCATTTTAAAACCTAGTCATGTATATATTTTTTACTTTGCTTAATTTGCTTGATCAGCCTGTAAAGGGACTGAGGGCGCATATTATCGATAGTCAATTGTGCAGCTCTAGTGTGATGTAAATAAAGTAATTATGCTACATATTGCATGGTGCATAGCGTTTTTAAAAAGTACTTAAAGGTGCTTATTTTCGATTTTTTTTAAAAGCCCTTAAAGGTGCTTTTTTCATTGGGTGTTTTTAAAAAGTGCTTAATTTTCCCTTTTCGAAAATGATATTTTTTTCCCTTGCCATGTCGATTTTTGCTGCGTATTATGCAACAACCTGCTTTTGACAATGTTCTATTCAGCTTTTTCACAATTTATTCAACAATCTATTTTGACGTATCATTGGTCCATGGCGTATTAACGCTCGAATCATTTTACATGCTTGATGAAATACTTGCGAGTCGGCATGTGTGTCCACTGAGCTGGTTTCAGTGAGATTATTGCACTCTCTTGTGCAACTCTGCTGTATTTTGCAAGATATTCGCAATTTCAGACTTCATTTTCCACCCTCTGATGTTAAACCGAAAAATCTCTCCATTTTATCATGGCTAATATAATCAAGGAAAGAGTTCTTTGCCAGAAACTAGTAATTTTATCATGATCATGTAAAATCTTTGAAAATTATTTCGCATTTTGTCAATGTATATAGTGCTTAAAAATATTTTTGATTCTTAAAAAGTACTTAAAAGGTGCCATTTTTTGTCAAAAGGTTTGGCTATGCACCCTGTATTGGTTTGATTTTGTTGATTTAAATGACTAAAATGAAAATATTTGCATTTTTTTCCCTACGAAATACTTTTTTTTTCAGTTTAAACTTATAGCTGTACAATTTTTAAAATAAATCTGGTTTCATAATTTTAATTTTCTTTTCAACCTATTTAATTACATCGTCCATTTAATATTATATTTTAGAGTTTAAATTTTAACAATAGTTTTATTGCTTTTGTCAGAAAATGTCTCATGGTGCATTTTAGCCCTTTAATTATTTAGGTTTTTACACCTTTTTTTTCCTTAACTTTTCCAGTTAAGATTAAGAATTCTAAAAACTGAAGGTTAGTTTTACACTACATTTTATTCTTCTAAATTAAATATTCGTTTGCCGATTATTAAGTTAGAAATTAAATTAAATCCAACAAACTTTATTTTATCAATTGAACACCAAGTGCACATGTATTAGACAGAAAAACAGAGTATTCAGTGTTTCTGCTAAGCTTTGAAAACTCTGAGTTCTTTGGACTCAAAACTTCTAAATTTCTTGGTTCTTTATTACTAAAAGTGGGTACTTATTTAAAACAATACACATATCTACTTTAAAAATATGCATAAAAAATAAATATTTTAAGTAGGATAACTATGTGGTAGGTTAATTGATTCAGTAAGAATTAAAACCAAAATTTCTATATCAATGCAACTCAGTTATTTTAATTTTCTCCTTCTGTTTCTAACACAGAAAAAAAAGCTGCATTTAATTTTAACTACATACGATACACTATATATATTTAAATTTTTCGTGATGGAGATTTACAGATTCTGGAAACGAATTATAAAATGTTTTTTTTTTTTTGCATCCCTTTTACCATTTTTGGCTTATTTGATGTGGATAAGTGAAATTGCTTGTATAAGTACTTTTTAAAAACATTTTTCATATTAAAATTTCATTTCAGGATCTTCATCAAACTGGTTGCAATTCATTTAGTGGTGAAGTAGCTCAACAAAACCAAACTCACTTGAAACGTGTTCTCCTAGCGTATGCAGAATGGAATCCTAGCGTAGGATATTGTCAAGGTTTTATTTAATATACTAGCAGCTATTATTCTAGAAGTTGTAGAATGGAAAGAAGAGGATGCTCTTTTAGTTAGTTCTCCTTTTATTGTGCATTAAAATAAATTCCGTAAATTTCACGTTTAATTTAAATAACATCTGATATCCATGTTTTTAATAATAGAATTTAATGTTGAATTTTTTTTTTTAATTTTAAGTGTGAAGTAAATTTTATGTATTGTATTGTAATTATTATCAAACCTTGTTTTCGTAAAATTGGTAATTATTTTCAAACCTTGTTTTCGTGACCATCCTGGTAAGTTGACTACCTTAACTAAATAGATCTCCATTATTCAGTACTGAATTTATTGTTTATAATTAAAAGAAGTAAGATCTTTATTACCAGACCATTTGTCTATATGTTGATTTCTGAAAATATAACATTTATTTAAAAGTGTTCTTAAATGCTCTTCTAAATCTTTAAGTTAATTCCAAAGAAAAGAATACTTTTTCAGGAATATTATTTTTTGTAATTACAGAGTCTTCCCATCGTGAAAAAGTCTCTATAAAGGTCTTAAATTTAAGTATGGTTTTAGGGGCTCCTAAAAAGGCTTTATTTTTCTCTCAAAAGCTTCAAAGGATCCTAATTTTAAAGACTTAAACTGTATTTTTATGAAACTTAAACAGTGATTCAAGTAAAATTAAAAAGTTTTAGATGCTTACCCTCTGATTCCGATAAGTGTGCCCTCTTTTCCCTTTATGTAAAAATAAGCTGCCATTCCTTAAAAACACTGCTTTTTAATTCATATTCCATTTTAAAAAAGATTAATTTACTGTTTAAATTATAATTGCACCCAGGTAAAATTACCTGTGTTTAAAGGTTTAATTCTGATTTCTAGTTATTACTTTACTTTGTTATTAATTTACTTTGTTAGAAATATTCTCAACTGTTTAAATGTTTACAAGTATCTCTTTTTTTCGAGTTAATAAAATTTTTGAAGTGATTTTAAATTTCAAGATTATNTTTCCAGACCATTTGTCTATATGTTGACTTCTGAAAATATAACATTTATTTAAAAGTGCTCTTAAATGCTCTTCTAAATCTTTAAGTTAAGTCCAAAGAAAAGAATACTTTTTCAGGAATATTATTTTTTGTAATTACAGAGTCCTCCCATTGTGAAAAAGTCTCTATAAAGGTCTTAAATTTAAGTATGGTTTTAGGGGCTCCTAAAAAGGCTTTATTTTTCTCTCAAAAACTTCAAAGGATCCTAATTTTAAAGACTTAAACTGTATTTTTATGAAACCTAAACAGTGATTCAAGTAAAATTAAAAAGTTTTAGATGTTAAAAAATCAGTTTATCTAGATATTCAATATCCCAAACTTTTTTTAAGACCTATTTAAAACTTTTATGATTTTTTTGTTGAACCAGAGCTTATGATCTTTATTTAGAAGCAATCAGTATTCTCTCTAAGCATCTTTAGAAGGGCGGCTAGCCCTGCTTACCCTCTGATTCCGATAAGTGTGCCCTCTTTTCCCTTTACGTAAAAATAAGCTGTCATTCCTTAAAAACACTGCTTTTTAATTCATATTCCATTTTAAAAAAGATTAATTTACTGTTTAAATTATAATTGCACCCAGGTAAAATTACCTGTGTTTAAAGGTTTAATTCTGATTTCTAGTTATTACTTTACTTTGTTATTAATTTACTTTGTTAGAAATATTCTCAACTGTTTAAATGTTTACAAGTATCTCTTTTTTTCGAGTTAATAAAATTTTTGAAGTGGTTTCAAATTTCAAAATTATTTTTTAAATAAAACACTTCTTTTATTTTATTTTTAAAAGCTCCTTTAAATGTTAATTTCTCATAATTTTCAGTTTAAATTATAGAAAAAAACTTCCAAGTTGTTTATGAATTAATTTTATGAACTACAAATTTTTTTCTTATTTTGATAATAAGTGAGAATTACTTTTAAACATACACATTAAATAGCAAAAAGAGGTTATTTAAATTTTTTTGAGGAATTGTTGTTAAAATTCAGTTATTGCATAATGTTTCACATTTTGATTCATTTCTGGTGTTAAGGGAGTTCCTTTCCTGAGAGGAAGTGCTTTTTTTATTCCTAAGGAGAAGTTTGAAGCAATCCTTTTTAAAAACTCTTTCGTAAGAGAAACATATATTTTTATGTTCTAAATCAAATCAGTAAAATCTTGTTCCTTATAAATTAAGGTGACTTAATTCTTTATTTCTACTCTTATAATTCCTATATGCTTAATTTTTATAAACTGTGTTATTAACTAATAAGGAAAAAAGAAAGGTTAAGTTTAAACAAGCCAAGTTCCTTCCAGTTCGCACCAACCTTCAATCTTTTAAAAATTCTCTTAGGTTAATCTTTTACTTAAATCACAAATTATCAGTTCTTCATTTATTTTTGACCAATTGTTGTGAGATTGTATTTTTGTAGGATCATGTGGTATGAGTGTTTTCCCTAGATTCAAATTTTTTGTTATGCGATATTAAAATTTTTATTTTTAAAGATAACAACACTTCCAAGAAATTTTTATCGTGCACATTTTAAAATGTATAAAAATTGATCAATATTAATTTTAAATCCATTTATTGATAACAATAGAAGTCAGATTCTGGCTATTTGGTTTTTTCCTGTGACTTTTATGGAGTTATGCACTTTAATTTTTGTGAAGTTTTAATTGAGGTTTCTGCAGTGCACACCCAAAGGGGTGGATGTTATAACCCCCCTGAAACAATCAGCATGTTGCGTTCTGTTGAATAAGGACAATTTTTTAATTTATTTCCCTAGTTTTTTTGTGTTTTGTATATGATTTGTGTATTTTGCAATTTAGGCAAATTCTTACTGCAATTTAGCGGTAAAAAAGTTAGTACCTTGTTCCAATTCTAATTTTATTCTTCTTTCCCTACCCCCCCCCCCNNCCCCCCCCAAAGAATCCCCCTGATTACATCTTCCTCTGTTCCTTCTAAAGTATCTTTTTCTTCAAGAGTCTTTTTGAAATGTTCTCTTCATCTCCTTAGTATTTCAGTATTATCATTTATAAATTCTCCGTTTTTGTCATGATATGTGTGAGTTCTTTGAAAGAACTCTTTTCTAGCATTGTTCACTACCTTGTAGAGAGAGTTCTTTGAAGAAAATTCTTTGGCTCTTTGTTATAAAATTTACCCTGGACTTAAAATAAATGTGGAGAGTGTTATTTATTTTTACCAAATCTATTTCAGGTTATGATATTTCTTATTGAAGAAGTATTTCCAGAAAGTTATTTTGCTAATCATTTGCGTGGTTTATCTGTTGACATGGCTGTCTTTAGAGACCTCCTATGCCTACGCCTGTCTAGCTTATCTGCTCATCTAGACAGACTGCAGTCAAATACACAGGATTCATGCACAGGTTTGTTTTATTTACAATCCATCTAAATTCATTCTGAACATTTGAATAAATAGAGTGCCATACTCTTCATTACAACTTCTCAGTACAATGACCCAATCTTAAAGTCCTGTTTGCTATTCCATAGGTGCAAGGATATTTTTATTTTCAATAGAAAATCCAATCTGATTCCAAATCCAACATTCTAATAAAGTGGCTAAAGTTTAATTTAATTCTTTTTATTACATTCCTAAAAAAACAACAGTTAAATAATTTTGAATGTAAAACAAGGATACTGCCATTAACAGTGAGTCATTCAAAAAAGCAATTTAATACTACTGGTATCCCGGCGTATAAGTCGGACTTTTTTTTTTATTAGGAGGAAGCGACTTTCTGCTATGTCTGTTATGTAAGTTGATCACTGAAAAAGCCAAACAGGAAAATTTCCAAAGTTAAAAAAAATTATAAAGTAATAATTAAGATGAAGTAGAATCCGTTGCAGATCTCTGTAACAACACATTGTTGAATCTGATAATGATGATATTCTGCAATCTTTAAATGCGTAGTTTTATGATATGTTTTAAAAGGTTTTCATATTTTTTGAAATGTTCTTCAATTAGTTATCTTAACTTTTCTTATTCTTAATTTTTTATGAACGTAATAAAAAAAATTTTATACAAAAAAAACTTAATGTGTAAAAACTATGCCGAGAGAAAATACAAAATTAATATTGAAAATTGTAAATAACATATTAAAAATTATTTTTGGAAAGGGTCAACTGAGACAAAGTTATTCATGTCTGTCTCATTGTTTTTACTACATCAAATTTTCATGATCAATGAATGTTCAGCTTTTTTACAGGTGTATAAGTTGANTCATGATCAATGAATGTTCTGCTTTTTCACAGGTGTATAAGTTGACCACTAAGTTTTGCAACATTTTGGTGTTTAAAAAGTTGACTATGGATGTGTGATATTGTAACAAGAATAATTAAATATTAAAGATAAAATTGAAACGAAGGTTTTTCTATATTCACTTGTTAAAAAAATATTCTTTTTTCTATTTCTTTTTTTAATTTGATATTAAAAAAACTCTTACTTAATGTTTATTTTTCTAGTTATTATTACGTGATGATTACTTTTCAGACAAATGATGTGAGAAATTTTATATGAAGAAACTTTAGATGAACATGAATCAGAACAGCATAAATTACAATTCCGTTAATTTCTTTCTTTTAAAATAAAAAAAGTTTTTTTTAATAATATCATATGCAAATTAAACCACGCCCTTTCTTTTTTTATATCTTTTTTGGCTTTAGTATATGCATCTATTTTTCTCCTTTTGGGTAATGCTAAATTATGTTTGCATAAAATTCAAATAAACTTTTATTTAATATTTTCAAATTGTGCCAAATATATGATTCAGTATGCTAAACTTTTACAAGAATAATCTTTGCTGGATTTCATCGAAGTCACAGACATATTTGTATTTTCGAAGATAATGCTACAGATTTCAAGTCATAAAATTCAATAGAGTACAATAGCTGGGACTTCTATTCTTATTTAAAAATGCATTTAGTAATCCTTTAGGAAAGCGAGATTAAAAAAAAGCGGCTTGACTCAACGGACTTTCATTTAGTAAATAATCAGATGAAAATTTGCTGTAAATGGCAAAAACTACAGCCTTAGCCTGTATAACCTTGAACAAGAAGTGTTACAGATTGACTTTATTTTGTAAGTTCTGCTATTGGGCTGCATTTATCATCTTGAATTCCCTTCAAATAATAAAAAGCAATTAATTATTTTTTGTCTTACATTACTAACTAATATCTTATCATTCTTTTATGCAATTTTTAACTGAATTAGTTTAGAAAGGACATAAAAACAGCAAAATAATTCCATGCTGCTACTAGTAAGCTAATTTTTAATTGCATAATCATATACATTTAAATATCTATGCATTTGGTTTCCAAAAGTAATGTAATTAAAGATTTAATAATATTAAAAACCTTTAAAACTTGATAGTTATCCAATAATCTAAAAAAAAAAATCTCTTTTACCCAATGTTCTCCTTAATCTGCGAAGAAGCATCCTGCCTTTTTTATTACTAGTTAAAACTCTGTTTTACCTGACACTTTACTTCTAAAAATAGGTTATTTGTATTTATTTTTAAAAAGTTTCTTGTTTAAATTCTAAAATGTTTGCAAAATTTATTTCAATAAATGTAAAATATATTTTAGGTGATGATGATATTTTAAGACATATTTATATGAGCCTCCACTTACCAATGTCTTTACAATGCAATGGTTTCTGACCTTTTTTACAACCTGCCTTCCAAAAGATACTGTACTGCAAGTCTGGGATTTGATTTTCCTCAAAGGCAATGAAGTACTATTGAGAGTCGCTCTGGCCATTTGGGATGGATTAGCTGAGTAAGGGTTCAAAGTTTTATTTTTATTATTCTTAAACCTCTGTTGAGACGATATAAGAAATCACCACTTTCATTGTTAGTTTTATTGCTTAATATGTTAGTTTTTTTAATATGTAGATTTATTTCTTAATATATGTCAGACTAGTCTTGACATACACTTCAGAGGCTTGAACAATGACAACACTGGAGAAAAATATTATCCTAATATTTGAGAGAAAGATTTTGCAGAGTATACTTGGTGGTGTAAATGAAAATGGTGAAGTCTGATTTTCTTGCAATTAATGAAAAGAATTGGAGATCAAAGATAAATCGAAAGTCGTCATGGAGAAATCTTCNTTTTATGTGAAGATTGTAATTCTTTTATGAATTTTTTATAGCTTTCATTTGTTTAAATAGCATGTTTTAAATATTCAGAGTAAAAAAGTGTTAATTTATTATGACTTTAACCCAGTGGTGAGTTTTTGGTTTGGTGAGGAAAGCACACCTTTTAAAAAGATTAGTAGTTAAACTTGCATTTCAGAAATGGTATAAGTTGTATCATAAGAATGAAATAAATACAATGAAACGTTTATGCAATATTTTGTGCTAATTCTATGTTACTTATAGCTTCAAGCACATTTAATTTTAGAATAATTTAAATATGACAAGTGTAATAATTCAGGACAATAATTTTAATAAGACAAGTCTATTACACTTTCTTATAGTGTTATTGAAATCAGTAGTGAGATTGCTTGTTGATATCTGTCTAATTTTACTCTTGTTAAACTGTCTTCAAGCCAATAAATCTTTGCTTGCAAATGTATGTAGATCCAAGTATAGAAAATGTTTTACTAGCAAATTTTTTCATACGTAGAAATTTTTTATCTTGTAAAATTTTTCAATTGTCAACTAGTGTCACACCATTAAACAAATCTTTCACAGTGTGTTCTGGCTTCGTATTAAGAAGTTCAAACTAAAGTTTCTCAGGTGCTATGTTTCCTAATCAAGAAGAATTCTTTTAATTGTTTTGGTATGCCTCAAAAAAACTTTTCATAGGCCGCTGTTTACCCAAATATTTATACTACATCTCTGCTTTTAAGCATCATAGGAAATTGTTGCAAGTTCAGTTTCATTTATTCATTTGACAAATGTAAGAAAACTCAGCGGCGCAACAGCCCATAGAGGGCCAACGCCTACTGTGCCCATCTTAGTTTTCTTGACCTTGGGCTCTGGGGTGCAGGAGCAGATGTTCCGGTCAGGTGAGCAGCCGAACGCGGAACCCCCAATGTTTAGTTCCCAAGCATGCTTGGTACTCTTTTATCGACCCACTGAAGGGATGAAAGGCTGGGTCAACCTTGCCCGGACCGAGGATCGAACCCAGGACTTGCGGCATGGGAGTACAAAGCGCTACCACTCAGTCACCGGGCATCAAAAATTACATTGCCTCTGTAAAAATTTTTAAAACTAAATCTGATAATACAAATAAAGGTTATGTTAATTTTGTATTGTATACAAATAAAGCTGAAATATTGTTAAAAGACCAAAAATTATGTCACTTATACACACATTTGATGGTTTAGAAAAGTTAATAAAAAGTCGCGGTGGCTCAGAGGGTGGAGTGCTCATCTCACAATGAGGTGACCCAGTTGTGAATCTCAGAGATGGCTGGATATTACAAATTCTGCACACAGCTCATTCAAACCTGTAGATGTAAAATACTTGGGAAGTACCCAAAATTTATAAATAAATGGGTATTTATCAATTTTATTTCTAATTCAATGGTTATCTGTTTCTTTAAAATTTTACAAAATTATGTATATTTAAAACATAATTAAGATTTGCTTACATTTTCAATAGTTAATTCTTTATTCATGAAGAAAAATTCATTCAATTTAGCATGTTAATTAGTAAAATTGTCCTTTTTTCAGTTTTCTTTTTTTGAGAGCAGTTATGGTTTAAATCTCATAAAATTCACATTTCTAATCTTAATTCTCAAGAGTTCTGGTTTTAAAAGTAACAGCTAAAGGAAGAAAGTTTTGCCGCAAATATATTTTTGAAGTGCGAAAGTGTATTCAAGTGTTAAGTAATTTACTTTAATAAATTTATCATACAATACTTATCCTGAATATGAATAATGCATAGTTTCTTGATTGATCCATAATTAGTTATGAATTGATGCTATCTTTCTAAATAATAATTATGTGTTATGTGGCTGTAAAATTTGTTGAATTTTTCATCATTATTGCTAATGAATTAATAAATAAGATAGAAAATCTTCTGAAAGTTTGCAAAGAAAAAAAAACCCTGCTGTATTAAAACTGTATTTATTTAATATTTTTTAATTAAATACACATCATTTATTATTTTCAATTGAAAAAAAATTATTTTTCATAAATTAAATGCTAAAGACATCAGTCTGATTTGGACATAAAAAGTTAAAATATACATGGCATAAGTTTACAAATAAATAATAATTAATTATTATAAATTTTATTGGCATTAAATATCTTTTACTCCTGATTGGTATAAGTGTAGAGTAATACTTGATAGATTTAGAATTTATAAAGTTTATTTTCTTAATTTTATTATGTGAATAAACATTAGATGACTAAAATTTTATTTCTTAAACTGTAATAAAAGCATTTGATGTACATGTTCACTTTTTATTCTTAAATTAGTTTTCGTATTGACAAAACTTATCACTAAAAACTTATAAAATGTTTTGTATTACTAATCGCATGATGTATTTTTAATACAAATCACAAGATATTTTTATTTAAAGAAATATTTAATCTAAATTTAATATTGTTAATTTAATTAAAAACATAAAACAACATTTAGGAGCTTTATTAATAATGAATATTTCATATGGAATACTCAAATAAGACTACATTTTGTTACTTTGTTTAAATTGTTTTGTATTTTAAGCTTGAAAAGTAACTCAGTAATATAAAAAAATTACATACTTCAATATTTATTCTGATAAAGATTAAATTTTGAAATTTCACAAATTTGTCAAATTTTTAAAAACAAAATTTTTTTTAATCTAACAATGCACATTCTGAAAATCCTAAACAACAGATATAGAAAAAACTAAAAAGATCAAAGGATTTTAAACTAATTGCATTTTTTTTTTTAACCAGACAAATTTAGTTTAAATTAAATAGTTTTATGGATAAATTTCTTTTCAAATTTAGGTATGAAATTTATAGTTTTATAACTAATATTAAATTTAGAAACTCGGTATAAATTAAAACCTTTTTTAAAACTTAGTTTCCAAAGACTCTAATCGTTTGTTCAGGATTTCTTCTATTTAATCCAGTTTATCCCATTGCATTGAAAAAAATTATGTGTTTCTATAAAAAAACTGCAAATGTGAACTCAAATGGTTTAATATGATATCCATTTTATTACATCACATATTGCGAACCTTTTTTCATAAATTTTTTAATGTAACAATTTATCATGTTCCTCTTTATTTAAATTTTTTTTTTTTTAAATATTTCTTTGGGAACTGATATGTATCGTTAAAAGTTTGTTTTTGAAAATAAAGATAAAATTAGTATATTATTTTCAGGATTATAAGCAAAACAAATTTTGGTTATATGCTTTAAAAAGACCAAAAAGTGGTAAATACCCCAATATTTTTTTTTGGTTATTTACCTGAGGCAATGGTAAATACCTGAATAATTACCTTTTTTTGAAATAAAAAAACTAACCACTGAATATTTACTCAACCCACATGTATACTCAAACTACTATTCTTATGCAAAATATCATCAGTGTTAAATTCCCTTGCCGTGGGAGGTTATCTTGAATTTCTCTTCCTTGTAATGCTAATGCAGGCTAGTTCCATCATCTTCATAGTTGGTCAGGCAGCTTAATGTGGGCCAATGCCTTTCTCTGAAGATTTCTCCATAACTATTTCCGATTTATCTTTGATCTCCAATTCTTTTAATTAATTCCAAGAAAATCAGATTTCTCCATATCAACCCCACTTTCTTTATCCATTTAATCTAAAAAGTAATATATTTTTAATTGTATTGTCATCACTCTTTCGAATCACGTGGGCCATCTAATTCATTCTATTTATTTTACATATTTAATAATATCTGGCTGTTTATAAATCTCGTACAGTTTGAAGTTAAATCTCCTTCTCCAGTTATTGTTTTAATTTACACCAAGTGTGGGTTAGTTCCACCAAGACTTAAAGTTAAAACATCTATACAGGACTGTTTCTAATATAAAAGGTAAAAAAGTGGTGTACAGTTTAAATTTAAGAATAATAAATGTTTTCATAATACTTTTCTAGAAATAACTGCCAACTGCAACCAGCTTAGCTATTTTTTCTTTTCTTTCGGGAGCACTGCTCTAATACAGTTACTTTAATTTTAAAGATTTTAATCCTTTTATTCTTAATCCTTTTCTGTCCAAAATACAATCAGCTTATAAAATTTACGAAGTTTAACTTTAATCTAATATGCCTTTTTTCTTTATCCATGTACTGATACTTGCACATAATAATGAAATCTTATTAATGTTTTTCCAACAAATAAATTTATTTTTTCATGTTTTATTTTATATTAATTTTTATTTGTATTGAATCTGCAGTAGAATCATGGTGTTGAGAGTGCAGATGAATTTTATTGCATTAGGGGTGTTCTTACACATGATATTTTAGAGTTTGGTCTTATGGATGCAGGTATGTTTGTTAAGGTAATTTTTTTTTTACTTCACATATGTTAAAAAATATTTTTAGTGGTAAAATTTTTGAATTTTCTATATGTTGGTGAAAATAATATTTAAATTATATACATTTAGTTTTATATTAATTTAAACTCAAATTTAAAACTTATAAAAGCATGTGGTTTATGTATTTCAATAATGAAAAAAGACTTTTTCTGCCAAGAGTAATTTAAAATAATTTTTTATGTGTCTTGGTCTAAATTAATTTATTCTTCTTCAATATATGACAGACAAATCAAATCTTAATCTTGACAAATTCAGAAAAGTATTAACCTTTAATAAGAACAACTAAGATTTTTTTTTCTGCAATTAGTTTGTAATAATTATTTTAACCATTTTAGTTTGAAATATTTTACATAATACTTTACAATGTTATACTTTATTTATAATATTGTAATTAAAGTATTGTAACTAAGTAACTTGAGTTATAATATAATAAATTCTTATCCTGCAATATGTATTTAAAAGGTATTAGGTATTATTAATAAATTTTATCAAAGCTTTGATTTATATATGCGAATATGTTTCTTAAATCATGTACCAAACTTGTACATGATTTACGAAAGACCTACATATTTTTATCAATTAACTTTCAATATTTTATCCAATAACTTCAGCATTACTGTGCCCAAATGTTAGTAATCTTTTGCTTGAAAAATTTTATTGTAAGCAATTCCTTATTTTTCGTTAACTTATCTTAATCATGTTTTTGTCTTACTTTTATGATTTGTTTTAAATCATTGATCCCTTGCAACATGTAAAAAAAAAATAATGAGGAAAAATGTCCAAGATTTATAAATCTCTAATTTTATTATTTGATTTAAATGATTAACCCCTTGCTTTCAGCTCTTTACACTTGATTTTTTTTTGCCCTGTAAAAATATCAAGTAATTAAAATCATGATATAATTTATTAATTTTATGGTTTGATTTAAATCATTGCCACCCAGCTTTTGAACCTGTATGAAGAAATCAAACAATCAAAACTGTGTTATCCTGTCATTTGATTTGAACCATTGTCACGTCAAACTTGGAAAAATCACTGTAAGCTTGTATTCTTACAACTGCAAGACCTTAGGGTTAATTATACTTACAATATACAATTATTCACATATTTACTCTCATCTGATGCTAAACTGCAGATATTTCTATTATTGAAATATTTTTTCTTTACTATGTGGTTCTTGCCTCAACTCTAGGACCTCATATACAACCATTATAATATACAATCATTTATAATACTTATAATAAGGATAGTTATAATATACAACCTTCTTTAGTTTCATCTGATACTGAACTGAAAATAGTTTTTTTTTTCTTTCTAGACTATGCGTACTTAAAACCTTCAACTGTTCAATGGTCCAGGTAGTATACATTACCTAGATCAAGGTACCTTTTTCGTGTGAAGGCTACATAGCTTATCTTAGATGGATTGACAACCTGATTCAGAGCACCATCTAGCTACTTCTAGAAGTGCATTATTCATGATATCAGAGATTGTTTTACCATGTTTACCTCTGACAATGACACCGTCAACAGCGTGCCCGATACAGGGTATGCCAAGATCAGTTAACCAAACTAACAAGGAGTCCATTACTATACACCATAGGATAGGGGATAAAGCCCCTCCCTGGGGGCACCCTGCGGTTGCATGCACTTTCATGCTTGCACCCAATAAAGATATTATTACAACAATCCAATCTTGAAATGAAGCATGCATTTGAGTAACCCCATTCTGAAGAGTCCGATTCGCGTGATTTCGTTGTCAATCTGTTTTTTGGTAATTACTGCTGCAGATTTCATCATGTGATGATGATTTGCAATATGCGATAAGGGAAATAATTATCCCCTTTGACAAAATATAAGAATATTGCCCATAATATTAGATTCAAAAAAAATATTACATATTCAATTTTAAAAATTGTATATATTTTTTTTTGTTTTTGATATGGGTTTTGTAACCTTAAATTAGTAACATGTATAATTGTTATTACTGACAGTATCTTGCAGAAAGATATTACTGCTAGATAATTTTGTCGCAGAAAGCCCGAAAAAATTCTGCCACAGGGCTGGATACCAGTTTTGCTAAATTTTAAAATAAGAAACTATTTTTGTATTTTATTAAAACTATTTTATATTTTTTATAAAAAATAGATATTTTTCTACAATTTTTTTTACTGATGCGACAGCCTTGGCTTTCTTTAAGAATTTTCTCCAACTGTTCCTCTGTTTGGCGACCGTTGTCCAGTTTTTCATTTTCATAGTGTTGATGTCCTTTTCAAAACTCTCAATCGACCTCTTTGTCTTATTCGCATAGGTTTTGATAAAAATATTTTTTTCCTGTTTTGATCTTCCTGATTAAATGTTCGACCCATTTTAGTCTGTATTTGTATTCACTTGGCAAGATCAGGCTCCCTTAAGATTTTATACAGCTCTAAGTTAATTCTTTACGAGCCATTTACCTGAATTCCACCACAGAGTACCCTTCTTTCAAAAATTGTAATCACCTTCTCACCTTTCTTAGTCCAGGTCTCTGAAGTCAAGAGAAGTATTATAAGACTTTTATGTAAGAGTAATTTAGAAAGTTTGGACTGTGAAAACATCTATTAAGCATTTGTGATTCGTTTATGTATTTCTGTAGTAAGGTCATTGTTATTGTTAAATTCTGCTCCTAAATAACTGTTGCAATCCACTTTTTCAAACTTGTATTACACAATTTCTAGATGACTAAATTGAAGATCTAAATTTAAACGTGGAATATAGTTGGTCTTTTTAACATTAAATTAATTTTGTTTTGTTTTATTTTATAACCACTGTTGAACGACCAACCCAATTTTTGGGTTTATGACTACTAATGTTCAACTTTGGAGCCTTGTAATTTGGAACCCTGACAAGAAGATAAGAGAGGGAGCTCTTGGATCACTTGTTGGGAGAAATTTCCCTTCGTGGAGGACTTTTTGATGGAACTAACTCGCATTTGGGTTACATGAAGAGGAAGACCACAAGAATCTCCCAAGGTTAACCTGGAGACAAAGGGAATCTAACCCATGGTCCTTCTACCACTGAGGATATTTTTCTTGTCAGCACTGTGGTCAGTGCAATCCGTATGCTGATTCATATCGACCAGCCATGGGATTTTAACCCATTTCACCTCATTGGTGGGAGAATGCTCTATCCCTTGAACCATCTTGGCTCTATTGAATTCATTGTCTTTGCCTTTTGTTTTAATACAATAAAGGCTTGTTTAAGAGCCGTGGGTCCTCTGGGTCACAATATTGATATTGTCTGGCTTTGGCCAATAGTTGGACTGACTTACTAAAGATATTTCCTCTAGTGTTTATGTTTATAGATGTGGGTCGAGTAAATACCCAGTAGGAGTAGGTATATTTATAAATTGGTATTTATCCCTGCCTCGGATAAATACCCCTAAATCAGGGTTATTATAATTTTTGGTCCCTTTTGAAGCATGTAACCATCAGTTATCTTGCTTATAGCTCTGAAAATTATGTAACTTCTTGAATTTTCAAAAATTAACAATAAATCTTAAAATATATCAATTGCAGAAGAAATATTTCTAGAAACTATAAATACCCAGTCAAGGAGCTGTATTGTCGCATTAAAAAGTAATGTAAAACGGTTTACATTTTGCAATATCACAAAGTACCTAGACTTTATGCTAAGTAATTAAGTGAACTTTGAGCTCTTTTCAAGGAAAAGTAATTGATAAGACAATGTTATGTACTGGATAAAATAGAAAAAAGGAATGATCACAGAGAATGAGTTTAAAATGTCTTAAATTTGTTTGTCTCTATTAATCCCAAAAAGTTAATGTAAGTGATAAAATTAAACTAGAAATTTCATATATAAATTTTTTTTTAAAAAAAGCAACTATAAAACTATTTTATTAAAAATAAATAAAAAATTTTAATATTAGTCCTTTGATATTTTGCTTGAAAAGTTTTTTTCTGTGTCTTATTAGAAACAAAAAAAATAATTTTTATTATGTAATCATTAATTTAGTGAAATTTTAAAATTTCATTTTTAACTCAAAAAAACTGAACTAGGAAATTTAATTTTTATATTAATGAATTATTTTGCAAAGTATGAGCAAAACACAACTTAACATTTAGAATACAAGACAAATTGTACAATAAAACAAGAAGTAGTTATTGTTTAAAAATTATCAAGTATGACTGAGTTAAACTTATTAAGATCTTTTATACTGTTTTCAATTTTAAAATATTGATTATTGTATTGTTCCAAATATTTAATTAAATTTACAACATTGAGATTCAATTAATTGAGATTTCTTTAAATTAAAATATCTTTTGATTTATAATAAAAATACATCTTGTAAAGGATAATATGAAAAATTTCATAAGTTTTTAAAGAATCTGATTTTTCTCTAATGTTTATGTATACAAATAAGTAAAAAAGATAAACTTTGTGAATCCTTATTCTATCAAGTATTATTTTAAAGATATCAGTTAGGAATGAAATATGTTTGAGAATATAACCTGCTAATTATTTATGCCATCATTCCCTTTTATAAAAATAAAAGACTTTAAACTTAGAAGTTAATTTAAAAGAGGTCTAGAACCTACCTTATCTTTACTGAAATTAATGTTCTTATTTAAGTACTTTTTTTCTTTTGTCAACTCTGTTAGTGGTTGTTTCTTATAATTATAGTAAACTCCTGCTTATCCACGAAGCAGTTAATCCTCAAAATGCTTAAAGGAAACACACATCATAATTTTAAATAAAAATATAAATGATAAATTTTAATATCTATTATTGCGCATGCCTCCTATTGAGGTGAACCAGGTTGAAGCTTCACCTTATCCACGAAGCGCAGAAATTTGCGGATAATACGCGAAACACTTAAAGGAAACACATAATTTTTTTTTAAAAATATAAATGATAAATTTTATTATCTATTATTGTGTATGCCTCCTAATGAGGTGAACCAGGTTGGAATCCTAGCCAGGTCTGGTCGGTACGAATACCACATCCCGCGTGATGTAAAATTTCCTCAGTAGTAGAGGAATCATGGGTTAGAGTCCCCTTGCCGTCAGGCTAACCATGGGAGATTTTCGTAGTTTTCCTCACCAGGTGGCACAAGTGCAGGTTAGTTCCATCAAAAAGTCCTCCACGAAAGCAAATTTCTCTAAATACTTGATCCAGGAGTTCCCTTGTCTTCTGGATCTAGTTCAAAAATACAAGGCAACGAAGTTGAACATTAGCAGTAGTAAACCCAAAAAATTTTATCGGCTGTTCAAGGACAGTAATAAAATAAATAAAAAAATATCTAGTACATATTTTTGATTTGTAGTTTTCTACAGATTGTCTTCTTTTACATTTTTTTTTATTTACGTATAAAAAAATGTATCAGCTTTGTTTGTTTCATGGTATTGAAACATTTCTTATTTATTTGAGATTGCCAAAATATATGCAAAGTGTCACATCACATTACTCTTCTATGTATTGAATTAGTCCTTAAATCTGTGATAGAGCTGTCTTTTTTCTTAGTTTGATCTTCTGCGCTTTCTTCAGCAACTGCACATAAATGAGCACTGCACTATCTAAAATTTCTTTATCATTAAAATGTTCTATTTCCTGATCATTTGCATCACAATTGAACCATTCATCGGTTTAACTCAGAAGTTCAGTCACTATTGAAAAAAATGCACAAAACGATGTTCAGAACACGTGAATTAGATCTTATAAAGAGTTACCTTCTTCGTTATCTGCGCAACAGCCTCTTGCAGGCCTTGGCTGCTTCAGCAGCTCATAAGCGCCAGCACCTCCTATCCATGGCAACTCCCTTTCAATTTCTAATCTTTAGTGTTTTCAAATCACTTGAGCCATGGGGGTCCGTCTGTGGGACGTGACCACTCGGGATTCTTAAAGGTGACAATTCTCATAAAGAGTTACCATGCAAATATTATTTTTAGAAACTTTTATGAGTAATAAAACTAAAAATAAACAACTGACAATGATTCTGAAATCATACGTATAGCGTATAAATTATTCAAAGTCAATTATTTAGAAATTTGAAAACCATTTGTCCAAGATCATTAAATTTTATGTTATTTTATTCAGTTTTTAGAGACATTCGATAAAATGTATTACATGGCTAATTTTTTTAAAAAAAATAGTTTGTTTAAAAGATTTTAATTTTAAAAGAAATAAACATTTTTATTTCACTTCTTTTCTCTCGATGTTTTTGCAAATTTTCAAGTCTGTATTTCTTTGGGATTATAATGGAAAAAAAAATTTATATTCAACATTGACATAAACCATATAGTAAAGACCACATATTATGCTATTAAAAATATAGTACAGCTAAAAAGGTGACATATTCATGTAAATATCTTTCTATATATATATATTTAATTGCATATTTAAATTATGATATGTGTTGTTATTTTTGTTAAATAGCTGATAGGAAAATAATTATTTATTTAAGCATTAATTAATAGTACAAAATCCCATGTATTTTCCTGACACTTTTTTGTCAAAGTAGACAAATCGCTTTTTTTGAAAAAAATTTTTTTTATCTATTAAAATTATTTTGCAATTCTTTGTTTTTGTAAAGATACTTATGTTTTACTTTTGTTTTGAAATTTGACCAACCTTCTTCTGCTAGGTACAAATAAAAGTGAACTTTATTGCAGGGTGTCAAGGATGCGGAATTTTGAAGAATGGAGGATAAACGAGTAGCCAACTACTTTGTAGTTGCAGGTCTTCTAGATAATGCCTCACCCCTCGAAGAGTTCTCTTGTGATGGAAACAGTCCCAAATCTACTCAGTCTTTGCTGCCCATCACTGATGTGATCGTTATTAAACGTAGCCAGAGAGGAACAGTGCCAAAAGGTTATACT